AAATACTAAGATCCAGTGATTATTTAAACAAATGTCGGTTAATCACGTTATTGGCCCTTTAACAGTTAAACTAGTAAATTCAAACATATTTAAGGTGGTTGAAAAATTAAAATTAGGCGAGCGTAGCGAGGCGAAAATTGTTATTCAACTACAATCAGTCCAGCGTTGTCATATGGTTGATGCATTTCCATAAAGATAAAAACTGAATCTACTAAAGCGTAGGCCCATCTTAGATGCTCGAAGCATGTCGCTTTCGAATGATATATTAATCAAATAAATAACTTCAAGGCTTTTGGAAATGCCAATATGCCAAAGATGACCGATTTTTGAATTGTGAAGCTTGTTTTGATTGTCAAAAACGACGAGACCAAAATTTCATCATGTCTTACAAAAGGCCAAATTATTATTTGTGTAGTGTTTTAAGAGCTCTAAACGATGACATGTTGAATTTAGTACTGGACACAGTGATACTCGTTTTTCTGCTTATTTAACGTATAAGAACGCCACAACAAGAATTACTGTTTTTTAGAAGAACATTTTAGAATTTATAAACAAGTCCGGTGTTCGGCAGATTCATAAAAAGCGAACAATCAACACATGAAAGTGTGCATTCGATGATAGCTGATTACATATTGCAATAAGAATATTTGCAATAATCAGCAAAATATGTTTGCTATTTCGCTGTCTACCAATATGTCGAAATTTAACTCGTTCTCTACCAAGTGTTCGAAAAATTAAAACATTTATATGGGAAATAAAGTGTTCGGAAAAATTGGTTTAAATTCAGTCATTCTGAAAGAATAAATTTCGAGAAAATGCTTAACCCTCTGATTGTTTGTTGCATTTACACCTTAACTTCGTTTCATGGGGCGTACAGCGCCCCAAGTGCATTTTGTATGAAAACTTGATTGTAATATGAGATAGCCACTTAGTGTCTTTGACAAAGTTGTAGTACTTAACCCGCTCTACAACGTTGCTGAAGAACATATTGCTTATCTCTTATCAGTTCCGCGAAATACGCGAAAAACCACGAAAACGTGAATTTTCGGCTCCTCATTTTTCACGGAATTGACAAGATATAAATGATGAGTGCCTTCAGCAAAGTTGTAGAGCAAGTCAAGTAGTACAATTTTTTGAAGACACCATCTCCTTATCTCTTATCAGTTCCGCGGAAAATGATAAGAGAAAATTCGCGTTTTTCGCGATTTTTCGCGTAAATGATAAGAGATAACGAATTGGTGTCTTCGGCAAAGTTGTAGCATTCAGCCGGCACTATAAATTTGCCCAAAACAGATATCGCTTATCTCTATCAGTTACGCAATATACGCGAAAAACCGCGAAAGATTTCCCACCATATGGGGTTTTTGATAATTTTTTTTTGCTTGACTGATAAGAGATAAGTGACATCTGTTTCCAGCAAAGTTGTACAGGACCACAAGTACTACAATTTTTCCCGTGCTTTATTTCGTTATCTCTTATCAGTTAAGCGAAAAACCGCGAAAAACGCGAGATTTCTCTTATCATTTTTCGCGTTACTGATAAGAGATAATGACTTGGTTTCTTGAGCAAAGTTGTAGAACCTAATCTGCTCTACAGCTTTGCTGAAGACAGCTATCAATTATCTCTTATCAGTTCCGTGAATTTTGTGGAACTGATAAGAGATAAGCGATATCTGTCTTTAGTGAAGATGTAGAGGACCTCTAGTACTACATATTTGCCGAAGACTTTAAATCGTTATCTCTTATCACAGTCCAAGAAACGAACGCATGCACATGTGTTGTGGGAGGCAATATCTCACACATTCTTACACATATGCACATGAAATTTCACTGACGTATAGCTAAAGGTTCAAGCTATCGAATGGTACCTATTTCAATGTGGTTTTTTCGTTTTTTGGTACTTTTATTCGAGGTGCAAAGTCACCTCGGGCGTTGTACACCCGACAAACGATTAGAGGGTTAAGAAAAGGTCAAAACATGAACAAACTAATGAAGACTTACGGACCATTTTCCCATTTAGAGCGGATCATTTGACTTTTACAACGGACCATTTGGGCAAGAACGGACCATTAAAATAATTCATGATGTATAGTGTGACTACCGCACAGTATTCGGTGATCCCAATCCATTGGTGTTATTGCCACATCGAAATTCGCATTCCTTATCAAATTATCAACTACTTATTGTTATTCAAGGACGAACCAAAAAATTGGTTCGTCCGTCTTCTCCAAAAAGGACGGACGGACAGTTAGAGACAACACTAACTTGAGAAATAAAGTGCCGCAATCCGAAATTAGGGGGCTGAGCGTAGCAAAGCGATCTTGCTAGCAAATAATAGGTCAAAAACGATCACAAACTCAACGAATGGCTATATCACAATCAATGTTGCTAAATTTACAATAAAGTACAGATAAACCTTAGCACTAGCAATCTGTGCCATTTTTCATAAGGCGTCTCCACTCGCATTGAGTTTGTATTGTGAATGTTAAGGTGCGTGCAACGCCCTTCAATGTAAAAAACAATACAAGTGGAGATGATACACGGGATTTATCTGTATTTTGTGTAAAAATCATAGTTATTACTAAGTATGTAGATCAGTATTTCAATTTGGTTCCACACGTTGCGTACTGATATGATGAAGTTTGCACGGCTAGTTGAATTTCTGAACTGATCAGCCGCTTCGTTCAAATACTTGCACATTTGTGACACTTAAGCCCTGATTCGCTTGTCCTTAATCTTTAGTTAGTTTGTGTGGCGCAAGGTAGTTTGTGTGCTCTCACCTACTGCAATGTCGTTCCGTACACACACAAAAGAAATTTATGACAAATCACTAAGTGTCATCGCAAACCGAGATAAACAGTATATTTATACTTTTGCGATGAATTCTATCGTATTTGTATACGTAAACACCATTAAATACATGGTTTATCCCGGTTTGCGATGAAATTTAGAGGTTATGTTTTCTCCGTGCAGTAGGACACAATATAGTAAATAAATACAATTGATGCATTTACTTTCCTTCTCTCCAATGATGTTTCATTGTTTCATAGACAAATCGTCTAACTATATGCTTTCTGCGGAAACCTGTAATCCACATAAACAGAGTAAAGATATGGTTTCTTTGGATTATTTTGAGGCATGCCAGAGTTTTTTTGCGGGCCGTCGATGGATTTCAAAATTTTCCAAAAACTAGGCACCCTAATATGTATTGTTCCGTATGGAAGAAATTCATTCATTCTTGTGCGGGGAATCGTCTGTATGTACTAAAAATACAACGAAATGAAAACGAATTTATACGATGTATGCATAATATGCATTGCATATTATTATGACTTGCGCTTTTTATAAGAAAAAAAAAACAATAAATAACACCAAGGAACAATACACTCAACGGACGTATGCATACCAGTTTCTGAATTTGACATGACCAGACATGACATGACGTGTCTGCCATACGCAACTTTCTAACCGTAGTTAGCGTCAGCGATGCCCAAAAAGAGTTTTCATAGAGCCGAAAATCAATTTTATTGCAAAAAAGAGAGGCAGAACACATATCATTTTTGAGATATTATGACTGGTACTGGGTTTACCCTACGGATGATACTGCCCCGCCTTCCCCAACATAAAATAAGTAAACATGGAAATGCCTGTAGAAATATAACCAAATTATTTTTCTTTTTTTCTGCTTTATATTAAAATATGCGAACACCAGATGTACGCCACCACATAAAAGTACTGACTATCAGAAAATATATTCAGACTGGTGCAATGAGTTTGAAAAATACAAGTCAGCTATGAAATCTTGGGAAAAGAAACAAGTGGTAAGTGAATATTTTAAAAAGGCTATTCAATTGAATAATTCAATCCGACGAATAGATCATATAAACCATTGTTTTCTTTTGTATAGCAATGCTCGGCTCGCCAAAATTACAGCAATCAACATCCAAATGACATCGTTTCAAGTAATATCAATATAAACGTTTGACCAGTCGGTAAATACTGCTTTTAAATTACTGTTTCCTATTTTGATTCCCCGTTTAAAACATACATAGATTTTTTTACATATTATTATTTATTTCACCGTCTAATCACAGACTGAATAATATCATACAAGTCATTTACATTTGATAATTTTACACATATATAGGCTTAAACACGCTCACCGAAAAACTGCCAAGTTTTAGTCGCCTACAAAATCCTTGAATCGATCGTCACAACGTTCAGAAAAAGTTAAAAATGGAAGATAGACATTATTCGCTCAACTAAACACAGAAACCCATCGTATTCTTAGACTACATTAAATTCAAACGGGGTGCATGAACATGCGGCTCCAATTTTTTCCGTATTTGGTGAGAAAACTTATCATGAACAAAGCGAAATCACGAAAAATGAATTAAATACGAAAACCAATGATTAAAATTTGCATGTCACGAAAGTGTTTTTGTCAAAACTTATGCAAAAGAGGTTTAAAACTGTGATATTAGTTGAAATCAATTAAACAGTTCAGCTTAAAAGAGAAAACTAAAGACCAATTTTAATTTTGACAAAACCATTTGCAAATGAATTGAGTACACAATTGCATTTACGTTACAACGTTGTTCGAGGGTTTTGCTCGTTCATATATTGCAATATATTGAAAACAAAATGTTTGGAAGATATTCAAAATCTTAAAAATTTGAACGTTGTCGAACAGTTGGACAGGCAAGTGCTTGCTGGTTGCAAGTATTTCACTTGCATGCTATTTTGCTCGACATTTGTAGTGCGAACGTCCACAAGATATCTCGTGTAGTCAAAATAATCGATTTTTCGAATTTTGAGTAGATTTTTTCGAAAATAGATCATTCTGACAGACGGATGACTTACCTTGTGAAACAAAATTGCATGCAAGTGAAATACTTGCACACAATCTTTGAGCAACTGATCAGCACTGGCATTCAAGTGAGATTTTCGTCCAAAAGGCCGAATCGAAACCATTTCAATCCGAAAATAAAAACGTTGAAAACAATGCTTGCAATGTCTGACAGGATATTTAGTTAATATCAAAATAAATATTTGAACTTATCGAATATTTTGCGAAAATAGCCAACGCAACTTCCAAACATTTTTTAGTAGAGTTCTTACCAAACATATATCGGATTAGATTATTATTGGATATCAAATATTATTACATTGTTTAAAAAATATTCTCATCCAACCTTCATCCTGATCATAGTCTTAGTGACTGTGATTTCGAAATCTCTATGAGCATATATTGGATCAGTAATCCATCTAAACTACAAAATTAATTTTTTATAACTCAATAAGAATTTAAATCATCAACAAATGATTGAATTTTCATTGTTAAAGTGATTATTGCCAATTATATGAAACTGAATGGTAATTTTTTTTTTGCATTTTCTTTTGAAAAAATTTGGGAAAAAACTCTTTTTTCGTTAATATTCAGCCTGAAAATTGATGGGGTAGAAAGGTAGACAGTAATTGACTCAAAACATTTGTTTGCGATTTAAGAAATAATCTATTTACAAACAATTTTTACCATTAAGTCCCTTAAAAAAATAATAAGAATCACTACAATAACAAAATATCATTTTCCTCATTTACGGTGTTTTTGGCAAATTTTTAAAATATTCGGAGCCACTTGTTCTTGTCAGGGGCATTGGTTCGTATGAACAACGAATGGATACTGCGAACATTTCATTTTCTACGAACGAACATCCGAACTATTTATATATCCTAAACTAGACCTCCGGACAAAAAAGTTTTATTTTTTCCTTGGGGGAGGGGGCAATGGTTGTTCAAGGATTGCTCTATCGATCCCGCATAAAGAATTTTTGCAAATCCCAGTGTAACACCCAATGCTTATGTGAGACTTGTAAGTTTTATTGAAATGTATATTGTATACAATTCGAATATTGAAAATAAAACTTTAATTTGAATAGAAGAAAATACGGAACACTTCTCTCTAGGTTTAATTGCGATGCATTTTTGTAATAGTGGCCGTCTCGCCTGAACATAATAATTTTTTAGGGAAATTTTTGCTCAGAATTTCCCATAGTTATATGTTAGCGTTAGTGGGGCTGCAAAGTATTACCCATTTCTATCTTGGCTGAAACGTTCATTTGTTCAGAATTCGTTTTAGAACGTTAATTAAGATAAAACATAAATTCGGCCTGAATGAATAAGTTTTAATAAATTCAACTTGAATTTTGTCCAGACTCACGGAACAGAATTTTTGCACAATGATAACATTACAACAAGAAATCCTTACAATAAAACTAAAGTTAAATAAAGTTAAAAAAATTCAATTTTAAATGCGAATACTCTTTTATTACAAACATATTTTTTGACGATTTCAATGAAGTGGAAGAATAAACCACACATATTCTATCATTACTTTCATTCAACTCGACATTAAATTTATCTGCCGTGTGTAAGTATTTATTTCAACATTTATAAAATATTGACGACAACATTCGACCTACCTCTAGTGGTCATCTGGTCATACATATAACAAATTTGTGTACATACAAACATTTGTGTGGTCAATATATACACACAATACAGACACACTAGCATAGGACTTATACAGTCTGCGAGAATAGCTACTTGATTATCGGCCGTACATACGCTTATGTGATTGAAATTTTCAACTATAACCACAAATTTCGTGTCAGTAGAGCTCGTCTTATGTTTACATTGAAAATACTTGTTATTGTTGTTGTCGTTTCATACCCGTGGGATTAGTTGAACCAGAGAATTTGAATATCTTCGGTAAAGGTAAGTACTGCCCATGCCCGTAGAGTGATAGGTGCGAGGGGATACGGATTGGTAAAAACAAATTTTTCCTAAAAAAATCGAAACGGTATATTTTTTTCCAGAAAACACAGTTATGGTCAATTTTTGTTCACCGGGATAAATTTTACACCGAGGGGTAAATCTGTCCAATTTTTGTTCATCGAGGTAAAAATGATCAATTTTTGTTCACCGAGGTAAATTTTATTTCGGGATAAAAACCAAATCATACTCAGTTTAATGCGCAAATCGATCAGAAATGTCTGTTCATACAACTTATCATTTATTACAATTTTTATAATTCATGTTTTCACTCATTTTGGGGACTGAGATGTAAAATATTTACCCCTAGGTGTAAATTTTACACCGTGAGAGGTAAATTTTTATACCTCGAGGGATAAATATTGCCCCGCGAGGGATAAATCTTAATTTACCCCTCGAAAATTGATCTCACAAAATCATGAAATAACTTTTACCCCTCGGTGTAAATTTTTTTGTTCCATTTCATCGAAAAATGTGTCAAAACATTAGAAACATCGGTTAAAAGTAGAAATTCGAACGAAAAATGATTTGTTATAAATAGAATAGAGAAAAATCGCGTTAAACTCGAAATACAACAAACTTGCAGAAACCTCATATTTCTTGAAAATTATCAATAAACTGTTCTTTTTGTGATATGTTAGACCGATTCAATGCATCCAGCTGTGCATTTCTTTATCGGAATACAGACATGTTTTTTTCTTGATTTGCATTACGAAGCATCAAAACAAACACTCCATTTTAAATAATGATAAACATAATTACAGCTATATATAAGCAAATCGTAGTAGGAAATCCATCCCACGAAAATTGACTCGAACAGACTCCACATCGAATCAGTCTTTGCAAAGAAACTTTGGATCAGTGCATATGTCTTCTCCAACCAGTTCGAGTTTTGCGAATGTTGACTTTCCACCCATTGCAACTGGACGAAATGAATTTGATGGAAACCTTGACGATGAATTGAAAAGTGAACAACAAATTACATACATCAATGGGAAATCGTCAACGAAGCAACACTCAAACAAATGAACCAACTGAATCTGATTTGACACCAAGCCAGTCTTTGCCGTTGCAACGCGAACAGATTGAAACATTTCAAGATAACGACATGAATTTGTTGGATGATACGAATCGAAATGAAATTGTTAACGATCAAGACATGCCATCGGAAGAAGAGACAACGACTGCGGATTTGAACAGAAGATTGGTTGCTCCTCGCGATGAAATTCGATCGCGGAGAAGACAGCCAAGATCCTTGAACCAATCCAAAACAAACGATGATCACATCAAAGAGCTGCGCGAGCGGCAACTGGAACTTGTGAAGCTGCAAGTTGATTGCCAAAAAGTGTTGCTCGAAAACGCGAAGATTACTTATTGAAGAGCTTCTGTATGCACAAAAGCTACGATCAAATTTGAATTAATAAAAATTATGACTTGTCTTTCGAAAAAAATGGCTTTCTTTATTTGAAACACTCTTGATTTCAAAACGAAAAAAATTGATTGTTATTATGACTTATAGGTGAACTTATATAGCAGGTAATATTTTATAGGGGCTTCAAACAAAAACATTCATTTCCAGGCTTTTAGAACTGATATAATGTCTTATGGAGACTGATTTTTAGATAAAAATTGCACCGAGGGGTAAATTTGACACCGAGAGGTAAATTTTGTCTTGCGAGGGGTAAATTTATATTTACACCTCGGTGTAAAATTTATCCCGGTGAACAAAAATTGACCGTAAATGTTTGAATAAAACGTTTTAAACATTTCTGTTCATTTTTCATATATAAAAATCTAACGTTTTTTAAACTTTGTTTTCAACAATTTTTGAACAAAATTTAAAAAGAAATTTTAGTTATATCAATAGTTCAAACCAAGTTGATGTTATGTTTCTGTTTTATTTGGAACTAATCAAAACTTAAATAATTTATGTGGGTGCATTACGCTGCACCCCCCCCCCCCCCCAATTTGTGCGGAGATGAGGCCGGTGCCAATAATTTGTGCTGACCAATGGTACCATCCGTTTAATTTGTGCTGGCCTGGGAAGCTAGCACAAATTGAAAAATTTGTAAAAAGTCGATTTTTGTTAATTTTACAGGGGAGCTACCCGAAAATGAGACTGTTTTTTTTTGTATAAACATGTGTGATGCGCTATACGTGAAATGGGTGCCTCTATGTCCATATACATTTTTCGACAAATTGCGTATAAAAATTAATGTGGGAACTATGAAATATACATCATTGGAAAGATCTTGAACAGTACATGTAATTTGAGTTATAAAACATCGAAATCGATCAACATTTTATCAAAATATGGCCATTTTATCAATTTTGGCCAAAAAAATTCCAACGGCCAAATATTGGCCAAATGCCGGCCCATTTTGAAGTTTTATACCAAAAATAACATCTACTTTTCAAGACCTTTCTAGTGATATACATAACTTTCTGATCCAACCTGTCGTTCAAAATCTCAATTTTTGACGTCAAAATCGGCCATAGTGGAATTTGTATGTATATGTTTTTGCCTTCATTTTTGTGAAGAGATCAACATTGCAATTCCCACTTTATTGAAAAAATTCCAGGAAAAATACTGAAATGTTTACATTTAAAAATCAAAATTTACGAAAAAAACTGACATTTTCCATTTAAAATGCATTAAGCATTCAGGCACCGATTTCACGAACAACGTTGGAAAATACATTTTACGGTTCCCATGAATTCGTCGAAAAGATTCCCACTAAATGTAAATATCGTGACAACCAAATCAAAATCAAATGACAACTGAACCAAAATCGACACCGAATTTGAATTTGAGCTCTGGAATTTGTGTGATTTTATTAAGTTTGAAATAATATTATTATAGTAAAACTAAAAGTCATTGTAAATATGTAAATTTAAATGCATTATGTGCTATGATAAATCCATCCATCGAGTTGGAGTCAATAAATAAATGATATTGTTTGACCAAATAATTGAAATAATTAAATCATCGATCATTTTTGATAATTCACAACAATACCGGAATTTATTCGATACAATATTTTTACAGTGATCAAATGCAGTTGATACAAAAAAAAACAACCATTTCGTTTATTCTCATAGAAAAATCTGTTTATTCGTTGGCGTACAGGCAAAACTTGGTTGCACTAAAAAGAGGTGTTTCAAATGCATTCTGTATTTTGATTAAGTTTTTTATCCAAAGTCTTCTTTTGTGTGGTTTTGCAGTATGCGTTGCATGACGTTTACACTCAGTTATAATATGGTACCACATTTGTGCACTAAATAAATTTTCAGTAAGTTATTGAGGTTTTGATCGAAATTTGTGAAGAAAGTTCTGAATGAATTATTTTTTTTGGTTTTAATTAAATCGTGAAATTCAATCGTAACCTCATCAAAGTTGTTGATATCTGTTCGTATTTTAGTGACTGCTTTCAGCTGAATTTCCAAGGATTGTTTATACCGTTCTTGTGATTCCAATTTTTCCAAATTTAACGTATTGACCGTTATTTTTTTTGTTTGTTTTCGCCCTAGAAAAACGTCACGTGAACCTGTTATATTGAATTCTTTCGTGAATGCTTCATTGTCATCACTGCATTCTGCATTCATATTCACACTTGTTGATGGTGTCTCACTCATTGACAATTTTTCCATTTCCAGCATAAATATATCTCGCAAGATTAATATGACACTCTCAATTACGAATTCAGACCAAGATAGATGAATTGTTCGGTTGTCGATTTTCGTCGCGTTCGAATCGTCCCGTTTTTTCACTGACATCTCGCGTATCATTGATAGGTGATTTTCGGTGGGTTTTATTGTGATAACATTGCAACATGCACTTGTTGAACTTTGTTGTTTCAAAACGGTTGTTTCTTGTAGTGAGCGTGTTTTATTTACTGGGCATTTCGACATTTTCTGCTGCAGCCATTGATTGCATTTTTCGGCATCAAAAAGAAACATCAATAACTTTCCAGTAAATTTGGTACTCTCCCCTTCAGTTTGCAGTTCAGCTTCGATTGTTTCGGCCGCATATTCGAATTTCCATACAATCTTCTGGAACTCTAGGTTAGCAATTATGCCGGGAATTGAATGCGTAATTTCTAGAATAGATTAGTTATTTATAAAATAAATGGTTATAATCGTCTAATATTCGAATTTTAATACAATCTTACCAAAGGGATCCTGCATTATAGAAGTAAATCATTTTTGAAAATTCCCAAAAAAATTGAACGATTAATTCATCGATATATTAGATGAAATTTACAAAAAAGCCCAAAAGTGATTTACTTCTATACCTGAATGCATATGCATTTATTGAATTGCATCGGTGACAAGCTTTGGTTCATAGCCAATAGATCGTGATATCTCCGAAATTCGGGCAGTTTGTTGGATATCATGATGTCAGCTTTGCGTTGTAATAAAATAAATAAATTGATCAATCGATAACGGAAAAAAATGAAATGAAGTGAAATCATACTTTTAATAACAGAAAAATTAAATGGTAATACTATCTTAATGGATAGTAATGAAAGTAATTAAAATGTAAATAATTTGGGGAACAAAAAGTCGCCTCAAAAAATTACATTGCCCGTGTTACGAACAGTGGAAGTACTTACCTTTGCGAAAAGCCCTGCCGTACAATGGGCAAATAACGTGTGACTCAAAATCAAAGCTTCTATAAAATTTGAAAAAACCTAAAAAAAGTGATAAATGTTAAAAAAAAGTAAACTTGTGTTTCTTCAATGTAAGAAAAAAATTAACCCAGCAACAGCTCGGATGTTCCGAGCAGCTCTGAACATCGTTTTTGGTTATTCAACCGGTCATCAAATGCGAAATTATAGTGATTCACCAGGTATGGGTGAACTCGATGTTGGAATTCGGCGATGGCGGGAAGCACTTGCTGCTGTTGCAAATAGAAAATCAACATCCACACAATCGCATAATTTGATATTCGATTTTTTCCAACACAATTCTGTACTTTGCCTGTGTAACAAAAAAGTAATATTTAAAATTTTACTTTTCGCCGCAATAACAATTATAACTTTTTACCCCAAAATTTTATGATTACAGAAAGTACATAGATTCGGTTGTCAAACGTCAGGAGTCGAGCAACGATTGGACTGTTCAAAATGCCATAAGAATCCGAAAAATTGATATCCACTGCCATTGACGTTCTAATGTGGTAACATTTCAATATGGGCACACGAGCATGAGAAATAGGCAGAAAATTGGTGAATTGTCCGCTTGTTCTCAGAATATTCATTGCTTTTCCAATGATTGCCGCTGGTTTTGCATTTAAAGGTTGACGAGATAACTCAATGAAAAAGTCAAAATCGCTATCTGCAATGAAAAACAAATTAATTCATATATACAGAATGAGAAAAATGAGTTTCACAATGTTTGTTATATTTTATTACCCCTAAAAGCAATTCCCATAACCGTTGAACCAAATACCTCTAGTCTAACAAATGGATAGAAACGTTGTAGGGCGAATAAAAGATCGTTTTTCACCTCCATACATTTAAGCCATAACGATCGATAGTCTGGCATCAAACTTGTTTGCAAAACCTTCATAGAAAAAAGTCAAAATTCCGTTGAGTTCAACATTCTATAATTGTTGATGCTATATATTGCATATAAAAACCTCGAGCTCTCGACCAGGTTCGCAACATTCCAATCTCTTCTTGACTTGTTCCCGCATAAGTTCAAAAATTCGTACATTTGGATCCTGTTGTTGCGCCATTTTTGGTTTATTTTTAATTTTTCGTGATTTTCTTGTATCAATGTGTGGTGGCTTCCTTGATTTATGCTCATCTTATGGAAATGTGGATATTTAATTTTTTGGCATCATGACACAACTTTGTTTTGTATACATACGTTTTTTGTCAGTATTGTTTGAAGACTTGTTTATTGTCAATGCTGCCGATTCGTTCTGCGGATTATTCATTATTGGTTGTAAGGAAACAAAATCTCTTTCTGAAATTTATTATTATAGTTTATTTTAATTTAAGTGATGATAAAAGTAGAAAACATTCTACATACGACAACAAACAAATTTTGGTTGACGTATCATTGAACGCTTGAATGCGTTCAATATAGCATGTCCAAATGAATGCGTCTTTATTTGTCATATGCTAAGTTGATTACACTTTGATATGAGTTGATTTTTTTATCGAAAAAATATTTTCTAATATAACAAAATAATGTTAGTAAATTTCTTGAAAAGAACAACATTACTTTCAAAACCGGTTCTGAATTGCAAGATTACAAAACCACCTAGTTTATTATGTAAAGGTGAATCGTTTCTAATACTTCCGCGGAGGAATGCATCAATTCACACTCGCAATATTCTAATACGAAAGGCCAAGTTGGAACATATCGACAATTTTGGTATTTTTTTACTGGTCAGTGAAAAATATGACTATAACTATAAATATATGTATGTAATCCCCAAAAAATTCATTTCATTCACAGTTCTTTCCGGTGACCACTTTTGGATTGGGAGTATGGCAGATCAAACGAAAAATTTGGAAAGAAAATCTGATTGCTGAATTAAAAAAACAATCGAACAAAGAACCAGTTGATCTGCCGGAGGAGTGAGAACATTTCTTCTATTTTATATTTCAAAATATTCAAATATTTTCGACACAAACTATCTAGATGTTTGTTTGCTTCCCATACAGTTTGACGCAACTAAATAGTATGGAATATCAAACAGTGAAAGTGAATGGACATTTTCTACACGATAAAGAACTATATTTAGGTCCCCGAACATTGATTGAGTCCCACGAAAATGGAAAAAAAGGAGGCGTACTGACAATTGCACCCAAATCGGGATATTTAGTAGTCACACCATTCAAACTCAATGGCAGAGAGTATGATAACACGATATAATGATGAAATTAGAACCAAACTCAAAATTGTAGACAATACCACATCCTTTTTATTTTAGGGAAACAATTTTGGTTAACCGGGGTTGGGTTTCGAAAAATAAAAAGACTCCAATGTCCCGCAGTGAAGGCCAAATTCAAGGAGATGTTGAAATTGTTGGAGTAGTTAGAAAACACGAAAATCGACCACAATTTATGCCTAAGATGAAAGATGACAATTTGTTTTTGTACCGGTAAAATCAAAATCTTGAATAATGGCATTGAGTAATAAACTAATTTGACATTCATTCATTTCATTCATTTCCTCTTAGAGATGTTAATAGAATGAGCGCCATTACTGGTGCGGAGCCATACTATTTGGATGCGACAGTCTATTCAAATATTTCCGGTGGTCCGATTGGCGGTCAAACTACTATTACTCTCAGAAATGAACATCTTTCTTATGTTGTGACCTGGTTTTCTCTATCAGGTTTGTCAGCTTGGTTTTGGTACAAAATGGTCTATTTAATTCCCAAGTAATGCTCAAATGATACAGTAAATAAGTAATGCTTGAGATTAAATATGAGTGAAAATACGAGGATTCTATTCATGTCTTTTATTTCTTCCACCATTGTTAGTTAAGGCCATGTATAAACCTTTTTTTATTTTGATTAAAAAATATATTGCTTGCAATTATTTGTTTTAATTTGACATTGCGACTTTCAAATTTTCCGCAAGTTTTTCAATGAATGCAAAAGTATCCAAATAATCTCCCTTTTGTACATTTGATAGGCCTTTGATACATATAGCCAAATCTTTGGTCATAAAACCAGATTCAATTGTATCGATGCAAACTTTTTCAAGAGTTTTTGAAAAGTGTTTCAATTCTGGATTTTTATCCAGCTCAGCGCGATGATGAAGGCCCCGCGTCCAGGCAAAAATTGAAGCAATTGGATTGGTCGACGTTTCCTTCCCTTGTTGATGCATACGATAATGGCGCGTCACCGTACCGTGAGCAGCCTCAGCTGTGGGATAAAAATTTCGTTTATAATTCCTTCAACATGGAAACACATGGAACATGGTCAAATAATTTAAACTACCTTCTACAGTTTTTCCATCCGGGCAAATTAGAACTGACGTCATCAGACCTAAACTACCATAGCCCTGGGCAACAGAATCAGATTGAACATCGCCATCATAGTTTTTACATGCCCAAACAAATCCGCCATCCGACTTCATTGCATAAGCAACCATGTCATCGATTAAACGATGTTCGTACCAAATTCCATTTGCTTCAAACTGAAGTCTGTATTCTCTCTGGTAAATTTCTTCAAATATATCCTTGAATCGACCATCGTATTTTTTCAAAATGGTATTTTTGGTGCTCAAATATAGTGGAATTTTACGGCTGAGGGCATATTTGAATGAGGAATGAGCAAAGTCAATAATGGAATCATCGGTGTTGAACATTCCCAACGCCACACCAGCACCTTTATATTGTAATAAAATAATGATAATAAATAAAAATCTTTATATATTCTGTGACCTTAGGTCACTGACCTATCGATTTGGCCATAGGAATACAATTCTACTTGTTATTGGAATTTTACCAAATCTGTTGAATTATTCTAACCTTTATATTCGTTGACTATATGGGTAATGATTTTACCACCTTCTTTCGGTACAAAGCGAAGCTCCAACGTACCTGCCTCCGGAACTACAAAATCAGTGGCCTTTTAAGGAAAATGAAGTTATTTATCGTATCGCATTTTTTGTTATTACAATTAAAATGGAAACTTACTTTATACTGATCACCGTGTGCATGTCGACCAATGATAATTGGTTTTGTCCACCCTGTAACTAAGCGGGGAATATTTTTGCAGATAATTGCTTCACGAAAAACGGTTCCTCCCTACAATATTACATGGATAATATTTGTTGAATTGAAAGTTGTCTGGTATAACTTAAAAGTCATATCGCAATCAAACCCATACCAGGATATTCCGAATAGTACCATTTGGGGACTTCCACATTTTCTTCAATTTGAATTCTTCGACGCGTGCCTCATCTGGAGTTATAGTTGCGCATTTAATTCCGACATTATATTTTTTAATTGCTTCGGCACAATCAACGGTTACTTGATCATCGGTTTTGTCTCGATATTCGATGCCCAAATCAAATACGTGCAACTCGATATCCAAAAAAGGAAGAATCAATTTTTCTTTGATCAGATCCCATATAATTCTGGTCATTTCATCACCCAAAATGTCCACAACGGGGCCTGCTTTTATTTTGTTCGCCATTGTATATTGTACTACGAAGATATAATTAAATATAAAAAAGAACTCTCAAAGGTTGTGTATACTTGACCGGCAATTTTAATGTGTCTATACTACAGTGTATGCAAAATAATCAAAAGTTTGATGTGATATATGCAGTATATATTTAACAACGTCAATAAGTCAAAGACACTGTTTTTCATACAATGCTATTATCATTATGACGAAAGGGTAAAGTACAATCGTACGCAGAAACATTTCATGCATATCAATACTATCAAATTTTATGTATTAAATAAAGTGACCAGATCAATTTAAATTCTATTATATTATGTGAAGCATTTGCTTCGAATCGATACAAAATTATATCTGACACGTTGCTGAAAATTGAACCGATACTTTCAACATATTTTCAACTTTCTCTTTTTGTTGAGGAAGATAAAATACAGATATTGACATTAAATATAGATGAAAAAATTATAAAAATAATACGACAGTTTCTCCAAAATATGTATACTAAATAAATTATATATTAGAAGTACTGAATTAAGAATTGTTATTCTAATTTGTTATTAGAAATACCTTTCTAAATGCTTTCACTGTGCAACAGAACAAGATTGATACGATTTGGAAATAACATTCGTATTCAATGCACTTCACCGTATTACTGATATCATATATATGGCTTACGCTAGCTGTTAGCTGAAGGTCTTCATGAAAACTTAGATATGTGAATTGAACGCACCCTTTTGTAAATGGATATATTCAAGAAAGTACACAAGTTAAGTTACTTAATAGTACAAATATATTATGTAGGTTTTTTGTTGTCGTTGTCCATTTATTTGATACTAAAATGAATAGTAAACAATACTGTAACCATAATCAATTCAAAATAAATAATGTGGTTCGTTCGATGCAGCACAGATTAACTGACAGTACAAATTGATTCACGCCCATTAACCTTTTTCAACACATCATGCATGCCTCTCTCAATTCTTTCATTTATTTCAACAGCAGAAATTTATGACCCATTTCTTTTCTAAAAAACATCTACTCGATTGTCTGACGGTACTCCAGAGCACAATTTAGATGTAATAGCTCCCAAACTAATTATCAATAATATCAATGATGAAAGCGCAAGGATGACTCCAGTTGTTAAATCGTGGAATGGTGTTCCTGGAAAAGGATTTAATCCCAGCAATACTAGTAGTCCACAACAGTTCAGCAGCGAGAACACGGTTACCAGAACATAGCCTAATTAATCAGATTTTATTAAACTTATGCATTTTTGTGGAAACTAATCGAACATACCAGAAATGAAATTTCGGTTTGGTAGCCAGTAACACTGCCGTGATCGAAAGCCCATAAATCCAAGGGATGCAGCTGCAAAACCTAAAAAATAATGGATTTTTTAATCAATAAGTTCGAAATTCCGTTTATTACATGAAATAAATGTTTAAACGGAAAAACAGCTGACTGATCAAAATAAATAATAGTTTTTACGAGATTGCATTTAACAGTAATTCAAAATCCATATAATACAAAATGAAATCACCTGATATTACACCCAAATCTAAATAATATGATCTCCGCATCTGGAAAAACAACAAAATGACCATTTTTAAATCTCAAATCTGACATCGAGTTGTTTTTTTACTTACGTCGGTAATCATGTATAAGCAAAGTCCCGAATTCAAAATCCCCGTGAGAATTAACATCAGTGAAATAGCTCCAATCGTAGCTGTAGCACTTTCGACTTTTTGGAAACTTTCGTGTGTCCAAGGTTTTTCAACTCCGCCTAGCGTTGTGTTATTATAAATTACTTGCTGATTAAGTCGTGGTGAAATTATGGCTGTTGTTCTATGGTCAATATTTTGATCAAGCGTTTTTTTATCCTCATACACTAGTTTTTGTGGTGTAAATCCCGACTGTTCTTGCGTGGCATATGGATTTTGCAGCTGAAATTGATCTGGAGATCTTTGAATAATAGTTTGGTAGCTTCCTTGACGTTGGAGGATCTCTTGTCCAGCTTTACGTGGAGTAGATAGTAATTTGTGTAATTTCTGTGTGGCGATTGGATTTTTCGTAGGAGTTCCAGGGATATAATTCGATTCATCATAGTTGATAGTTTGTTGGTGTGACTTCTTATATGATTGACTGTTCATTCTCGATTGAATGGAATGTTTATCGTCAAATTTTCCGTTTGTTAACTTTGGTTTATGTTCTGGCTGCAACGAATGTGTTTCATTTTTCAATTTGAATGGACCACACCATGCAGATCCATCGGTACCACCCATTTTCATAGATAAGTCTGCTTTTATGGTGCCTGAAGTGACTTCAGGTTCGATAATACACACTGAAGTTTCCATATCATCATCTGTGGGAATTACAGCATATCTATGCACACGACCATTATGCATTTCAATAATTTCATGATTTGAATCCACTACGTCTTCGTCGTCGTCAGTTGGAACGATTGTATACCGTTGCATACTGTTTTGATCAACCAAAATTACCGATTTGTTTATAAAGTCCGATGAGAAAGCTGACATCAGTTTTCGGCTATTTTCTTGTGGTGTGAAAGCTGGTAAACTGGTGAAGCTATCTTCTTCTTCTTGTACCAGCTCAGGCGGAATCAAGTCCAAATTATCATGACTTTTGGTTAGCCTCAACGAGCCGTTGCGTAATATGCAATAACGATCCTTATTATTGCTGGAGAGTTCTTCTAGAGGAACTAATGCATAACCATTTGAGTTGAATCGCATACCTGTATTTTTCTGATATTTGATTGAATCCATCTCGTAATTTGGAATAATATCGGAATAAATGGTTTTTTTCTGGTTTTGTTCTGTCCGGTACTTAGATTCTCTATGTTGTATAGTTTGTTGAGCTGTCCATTTACCCCTTGATGATGTTTGAATAAATTGATTTTGTTGTATTTTTACATCGTTTATATCAATTGATGTTGCAGGAACCTTCAGTTGTGAAAATTCACTTTTCTGACAAAATGCAGGATTTATATAGTGAGCCATTTTGAAACACTCTATTTTATTATAATATAGTAACAAATGAAATTTGCACACAATAACCAAAGTTGATATTGAAGAACAAACACCCTTACTGATCGACACATAGCACGCATCTGGCGCTTTAAATGCGACGCATGCCAAATAAAAAACGACCGTTAAAAATTCACTCAATTCCCTTATACAAACAACTTTCAGTTACAACCGCACATCTGATCCTATATATATATATATATGCTTGTATGCGTGTGCGTGTCCGTTTGCATATGTGTTTGTGCTTGTGTGCGTACGTGTGCACACAATGAGCTTTGTATTTGACTTAACTTGTATGTATTCGTCACTATTCGTTCACATTTTGTATTGGTAGATACAAAGAATTTGTACTGCGCAAGATAGTTTTATTTATACACAAAACACCCTGCGTGTATGAAAAAAAGAGAACATGTGGTAAATTCTCCCTTGTATTTACTACTTCATATTTTATAATGAATGTATAGGCAGATGTGAGCTGATTGTATGCTGTATATTGAATTGTGGCACTAGTTGATTGTTTTTCATATTGTTATCGAAACTGTTCATTTCCAAAATTATTTCTTTCCGAAGTGAATATTCATTTCATATAGAGCGAAATTAAATCAATTTTTTTTGTTATTACAGTTTGAATTGAAACTTATTCTCTAACGCTCAAATGAATGCGCTGAAACAATAATTTCGAATAATTCTTACTTAGGAAATTTTGAAACATTCTAAGTCGTTGATGTGCAGTGAGTGCACAATGCGACTGGCTATGATAAGAAAGTCTCGAATCAATGTTCCATTGGTTCCAGAATTCATGTGCTAATAAAAACGAAGTATTTTGTATTTATTGACAATTTTGGTGATATTTTATGACATTTTTCGAGGTTTCTCAGACGATTTTCGCTTTTCCCTGTTTTTTTAAGTATGCAATTTAGGGTATAACGATAAATATTTAAGTTTGTCTCAAATTTTGGTTCTCCGTTAATTAAAAAACCACACATGAAAATGTCTTGATAGAAGCCGATTGTCAACGGTCCAAATAAGCCTAATCCAAAAGTGTGAAAAAAGAAAGGACAACTGAAGCGTTTAACATTGTTATTACGATCTTAATGACTGCAAAAGTAATCGTTCAATTTATCAAAGGGGTGATGAATATAAGAAAAGTTGTACAATGTACATCCAATCGAAATAATTCCCTGCTGGTAGTTTTATATTAACAAATCACATTAAGACCGAAAGATAAAAACAATTTCAACTGAAATTGATTTACGTAACATACCATTGAATGTATCCCAGAAACATTCTTTACAAAAGTATTCGATTTTCTCGTAGGAAAAAAATCAAAGAATAACTAAAAATAAGAAGAAAAAAAGAATAACGCTATAGCTTTCAACGTTTCAAGCAATGATTTGATCCGTGAATCTCGTTCCATTTTCGAAACAATAGGAAATGTGAACACACATTTTGTTCACTTTTTGTATAAATGGTCCAAAAAAATCGGTCAGATATTGCTATTATGTAAGTGTAAGTGTAGCGTTTTGGAATTATTTCTATGGTTGAGATTGAGAGTAGTACTACTCTGTATATTTATATTATTTGAGTGGTCGGTAGTGTTGGCCGTCGAACAATTTCGAACGCTTGTTCGACCGATTAACATGATTTAAAAAATCATTTCGTTCATTCGTTCGAAAATGTTTTGTTCGTTGTTCGGTCCGAACAAGTTTAAATTTTGTATGAAAAAAAGACTTTGTTCGGACCGAACGAACGAACAAAATTATTTTTTTTAATCATGTGGAATGAACGAACGAACGTTCGAAGCCAACAGTGTTGGCCCAACACTAGTGGTCGGGAATAAAAATGACTAAATTTGAACCACTTATGGGTAAGCGTAACACAGTATTCTTGATTTTTAAAAGTGCAAACAATAATTCTGTTCGCTTGAAAGTGAATCGTGAAATATCTGTTGACTATAGAAATCGTGTTTAACTTAAATTGAAGTAAAAATGTTCGATACACTTTCAAGTCCACTGGTATGATGATTCATTTTAATGGTGGTTTTGGTTGTGTTTCCTCACGAACCCCGGTATATGCCTAAATTGTAGCTGCTGTCGGAGCGCGTTGAAGTCCGTCTTAAAACTGAGATTTGCATTACAGGAAAATTGGCCAATATAAATACCCAATTCGTTGTTGAATGTATGAAATCGATATTTTGTCTGGGCATGGGCATACATAAAAAATGCATTTTACAGAGCTTTGAAAGTTAGGAACAATTATTTTTTTAACACTATGATTGTTCTTGGGGCACCCAGGGCCCCCAGCGAACTTTAAAGTTGAATAAAAGTACTAAACAGTGTATAAACCAACCGGAGTTAAGTCTCATTGTATAGATTGAACATTTCTCTACACGAATGAAAAAAAAACATATGCATATGTGTGAGTATGTGTAAAATACAGCCTGCCGCAAAACATGTTACGCTGTTGTTCTTGGGGGACCACAGGGCCCCATGGCTATTTTATATTATAGCTGGACTATGATAAGAGATATCGACTTGGTGTCTATGACGAAGTTGTAGTACTCAAGCTGTTCTACAACTTCGCCGTAGACATCAAGTCGTTATCTCTTATCAGTTACGCGAAAAGCCGCGAAAACGTGATAAACGCGAATTCATAGTTTCTCACTTTTCAAGGAACTGATAAGAGATAATGAGATGGTGTCTATGGCAAAGTTGTAGCTCTGGTCGAGTACTACAACTTTACTACGACACCAAGTCGTTATCTCTTATCAAGTACGCGAAAAAATGATAAGAAAAAAATCGCGTTTTTCACGGTTTTCTGCGGTTTTTCGCGTATTCCGCAAAACTGATAATAGATAGCGAAATAGTATCTATGGCAAAGTTGTAGTTCTGGTCAAGTACTACAACTTCACCACAGACACCAAGTCGTTATCTCTTATCAGTTACGCGAAAAAATGATAAGAAAAAATTCGCGTTTTTCACGGTTTTCGCGGCATTTCGCGTAACTGATAAGAGATAACGACTTGATGTCTGTAGCGAAGTTGTAGCACTTAAGCTGCTTTACAACTTTGGTATAGACACCATCTCGTTATCTCTTATCAGTTCCGTGAAAAATGATAAGAAAAAACGCGTTTTTTTTCGCGGTTTTCAGCGGTTTCTCGCGTATTCCGCGAAACTGATAAGAGATAACAAGATGGTTTTCGGCAAAGTTGTAGAACAGCTTAAGTACTACAACTTCACCATAGACATCAAGTCGTTATCTCTTATCAGTTACGCGAAAAAACGCGAAAAACGCGAGTTCTTGATAATCATTTTTCGCGAAACTGATAAGAGATAACGACTTAATGTCTGTGGCAAAGTTGTAGTACTCGACCTGCTCTACATTTCTGTCGAAGAGGCAAGTCTCTTACTTCTTATCGGCTTCACTAAAATGAGGTGGGAAAATTTCGCGATTTTCGCGTTTTTCGCGGAACTGATAAAAGATAAGTAATATTTGTTGCACCAAAATTATAGCAAACTTTGAGTATTACAACTTTGCTTCAGACACTAATTTGTTATCTCTTATCACAGTCCAGATTTCATATGAAATATCTTGGGGGCCCTGGAGTCCCCCAAGAACAGTCATATGTTGCAAATACGAAGAACAGTCATAGTGTTAATGAAATAATAAGGATTTGCAATAACAACAACACTCCTTTTATGGTTATTTTGAAGTTTTATCGCATTTTACAATGTGAAATTAACACTTCTTTGACTGTCCCTGGGGCGTACAACGCCCGTGGCTACTTTGAATTACAAATAAAAGTAACAAAACCCAAAAAAATCACATTGAAATTGATATCATTCGATAGCTTGAACCTTTAGCTACACACCAGTGAAATATCGTATGTAAATGTGTGAGATATTACCTCCCACACACATGTGCGTTGCCTATCCCTTAATAAGAGATAAGTGAGTTCTGTCTTCAGCAAGTTGTGAAGAAGGTTGATTACTACAATATTCCAAAAAATACCATTTCGTTATCTCTTATCAGTTGCGCGAAAAATGATAAGAAAAAATTCGCGTTTTTCGCGTGACTGATAAAAGATAAGCGATATATGTCTTCGAGAAAATTGTGGAGCGGGTCAAGCACTACAACTTTGCCGAAGACACTAAGTCATTATCTCTTATCAGTTATGCGAAAAAAAATTTTGCAATCACATCGTATTGTGGACGTTTTTTGCGGTTTTTCGCGTATTCCACGTGACTGATAAGAGATAAGCAATATATGTCTTCAGCAAAGTTGTAGGGTAGGTCAAGTACAACAACAAAACTCAAGACATCAAGTCGTTATCTCTTATCAGTTTCGCGAAAAACGCGAGTTTTTCCTCATCAATTTTTCAAGTAACTGATAGAGATAACGACTTTATGTCTTCGGCAATGTTGTTTTACTTGACCTGCCATAAAACTTTGCTGGAAACAGATATCACTAATCCTATAAATATCAGTTCCGTAAAAAATGAGAAGGCGAATATTCACGTTTTCGCGGTTTTCTGCGTATTTTGTGGAACTGATAAGAGGTGAGCGATATGTGTCTTAAGCAAATTTGTAGAGCGAGTTGAGTACTACAACTTTACTTGACAGGTATCAATTCGTTATCTCTTATCACAGTCCAGTTTTTATACAAAATTTACTTGGGCGCCCCAAGGGACAGGAATATGTTGCAAATTCAAGGGACAATCATAGTGTTAAGGAGAAATGGGACTTTTTGGATGTTAGTGGAAATTTGCTATTTCCAAAGTTTGTAAAATAACGATGCAAATGTTCTACAAAAAACACAACAATTTTCTAAAAATAAGATATTTTTCTGGCAAAAGTGTATTTTTCCCGAAAAACATTGCCTTATAAAAGTAGTGATATCAGATGAAAAACCTTTAGACGAGGTTAAAATGGATTTACGCTCCTGTGCGTGAATTTACCAACTCGAAAAGACTGATATCATTTTGAGTGATGTTACGATGTTGTATTATAACTGGATACGAAGTTCAAAAAAGTTTTTCGCATTCACTATTGTGAAAACTTACTCACAATAAGGAACAATATC